ATGACGGCCGCATGCCGTTCCGCAGTCGCACCAGCGACCTACATGCCATACGTCTTGCTTTCGGCTCCTGATAACCACGACGCATCACCTGATGAGACGCGACCATCAATAGGCCGTGAGCCGGCAACCATACGCTCCAGCGTAACCAGCTCCATATCTATTGACTTGTTTTGTTTATCTCGCCGTTCCACCGATTATTCCATGCACGACGACCCGCATTCGCGCGTGCACAACCGGCCCATGTAAGATTCAGTCTGTGTCATGACGGCCGCATGCCGTTTCGCAGTCGCACCAGCGACATTCACGCCATACATCTTGCTTTCGGCTCCTGGTAACCACGACTCGTCACCCGATTAGTCGCTACAATTGTACCATGTTGGACAATCAATCATCTCACCCTTCTCATCCGGTCCACATTGACTTCTGGAAAACCTCGTGGGAAAAAAAAAAAACCGTCCATCAAGTGTACACGACATGACAAGCAGCAATAACAACCGAAAATAGATTTGTTTTTGTGTGTGGGTTTGGCACTGGGTTTGGACGGCAGTTTTGTTTGTCACCAATCCACCACCCTTGTCGCACTGCGACAAACACCCCAGACGATGTGTCTCGTCTCGCGATCAGTATTTCTGATAATCACACCATAGTGTCTCTGACACTACGGGACCGGAAAGCACAACGCGTTTTCGATGCGGTCCTGTCTTTCGCATCTTTCTCATAGTCGATGCGTTGAAGTTTAAAAATTGGGACCGCAGTCACATCATAACCGCACGCAGCACCCCGAATTCCACCTTCGGCACGGTGCCCTGTAATGCGACACCCATAACCGGCCGCGGCGCCTCTCCCGCGCAACCAGCACACGCACCGCGGCCACCTAACCACATTGTCGGTGAGACATAATATATGCTGTATGCGTACATAGGAACGCGAACACGCGCTCGTACCGCTCTATGTGACCATCACTCAGCACACCAGAAGTGATCGGGTGCTTCGGACATGCTCGATGATATCTGCTGTCGCATGATGCAAACTCGGCCGGTACCCCGCGCAAGCGAACGAACCCGTCGGAAAAGACGACAACACTAGCTCCCGCAACAGAATGTCCTAAACCAGCAGCTGGCAGAGTGTTGTCCAATCGTACGTCTAGCAGTCCCTGTGCTCCAGCACTGCTGATGCTCCAACGTGATCGGGCGCAAACGGAATGTCCTGCGGGCAGCTGCCTTATCTCGGTGCGCATGCCTCCTCTCCTGCAAGCACGCAGACATACTCTTTGCCATATAATATAAATGCCCACTCCTTCTACCAACTCCAATAAACACCAATCAATTTCAGACTCCTCCCCCCTTTGGTAGGATCCATCTGAAATATTCGCTTTTTTTTGCGATGACCGGCGGTTCCTCCGTGTGTGTGCACCGACCGGAGTGTAATGCAAAAAGAGTGACTCCCCCAACAAGTTGAGCCACAATAACTGGCCCTGATTTTTCTCTCCTGTTAGTGTGGTGTGTTGGATGTTGGGCCGAACGGTCCTGTTTGTCCACAACGACAACAAAAAATCCGACAACAATAATAGCCGATGACTTCACCACCTCAACCAACAACCGGTAAACGCCGAACACCCCGGTTTCAACCAGTTTTCGCCTTCTCGACGACGTGTTTTTCTTCTCCCTAGACTCAGGGTTCGCGTCAAGGGCACAAGAGAGGGCATCGCGGCGAACGAACGTCGATCAATGACACTTGTGTGTTGGGTGGGATCAGCGGTTACCCACCCCTCATCCCAAATCACACTCATCACCACATACATGATCTCGGTCTGCATTTTCCCGTCAGTTTCCAGATCCTCCTTCCCCCCGTCACACCTCACTTTTTTTTTTTTTGGGCCTGTGATGCGGACCACGAGTGACGTTGCTGTGCCGCATGATGCATACCCTCCCCTCTACTATCTCCCGCTCTTGCTGTTGTAGTTCGCCTCAAGAGCGCGCCCCCGCTGGATCAAGGAGCTCGACGACCGAAGAGTGTGCGACCGATCTTTCCGTGGGGGAGGTCGTCGCTGCGACGCCCAGCTTCTTTCCCGTGTGGCATCATCATCGTCATCGGGATATAATCAGGATATACATCCGCTGCTGCTGCTGCTACGGGCTGTTGTTGCTGCTGTTGCTGCTGCTGCCGCTGTTGTGGTTTTGAAATCGTACCCCCACACCAAATGTCGGCGGCGAGGGTTGAACAAGCTTCAGCTGGCGATAACAGCAGCGGATCCCGCGCTGCTGGTCCTTCTCTCCAGGCCCTCGAGGAGAAGGCCAGGCGGCTGCTGAAGCGCTGCCGGTATGACGACGCGGCCATAACGTTCAGAAATCTTCTGGAGGTTGCACAAGTTCAACGAGATGCTGCTGCTGCTGAGCGGGGCCGGCCGCAGCAGCAGCAGCAGCAGCAGCAGCAGCAGCAGCAGCAGCAGCAGCAGCATAGCCCGTACCCCAAGAGGAGCTGGTCCCTGGAGATCGGAGCTTTGGAGGGCCTCGCCATCTGCCTCAGCCGACAGCTAGAGTGAGCCTTGTGTGTATTGTCCTGCGTTGTTGTTTGTTTATTTCGTCCTCGCTCACCTACAACAGCAAACTGACCTGTCCGCCCGCATTCCTTGAAAAGTTGAAGAAAGGTTGGATGGTACAGCAGCAGCATGTGCTTCATGGTGTTCTTCGTGTTGGTGACCAGCGCGGGTATGACGGGCCATGCGACGTCATGAAGGTCGGCCATTCGGAGATACATACACTCGCCCTAGCCTCCCTCCCACGGTGGCTGTACAGCTGGTAGTTCGGCATGCTTGAATGTTGATCAGAAAACATGTGTGGGAAGATCGTGATCGATTGTTTGGACTGATTTCCCACACAGCGCCGGTGCTTGCTGTGAGCCTTTCGTTCAGCATAGTGTTGTACATAACAACTACAAAGAGGCCCGTGTCGACAATCGTTGCCGGCTTCCCGCAGAGGTGCATGGCTCTCATCACGCGGATGGAGAATCTGGCACTCCGGGTCTAGAAGAGGATTGATTGGGTTTCGCCTCGTACCATTCGGTCTAAAGTCGCCAAAACGGCGGGTGTGTACAATATTTGTATGAAGGGAAATTATTTGCTGGATGTGTATGTATGTGGTATGTATGTCCTCACCCACTATTTATATTCGATGGGACGGTCTGTCTGCTGGGGCTGCCGGCTGGCTGAGACCAGTCCTGACTGGATGAGATGAACAGCGAACCACCACACACCTCTCCCCCCGTATTGTCGCCGTCCTTGCACCGGTCGCCCCGCCCGCGGTGACACACTTCTGGTTATTTCTTCGGTACACCTCTTGCACCCTCCCCCCGCCCGCCGCCCTAACTCTCTTCAGCAGTGTAGATTTCGGGATTCGACTCTCTCTGCAATGTGAACGTGGAGATACGCACCGTCCGGTATCTAAAAAGAAGTAACCGCAAACCGCACCAACCCTAGGGAGGAGGGAACTACTGGCTGCTAATCTCAACTCTTGTCGCGTTAGAAATTGGGGACATTCTGGCACCAAACAAAGGATGGGACGAAATCAGAGGGGAGAGGGAAAGAAGAGGAGAAACAAAAGAAAGATCACTGCTGCTTACACTACTACAGCGCTAGTCTATTAGCTAGAATGTGCGTCCTTCTACCGGGCGGTTCGTCACAAAGACTAGTGCTGTGGGTTACAACCGAACGGCGAAGACAAGCGCGCCTGTAATAGCCAAGTGTGTAGGGTAACGAACACACAACAACGCACGTCAGTCTGCCGTATATATAATTTATATACCAAACCGCTGCTGCCGCTGTGTATGTATGGATGACGTGTTTGTTGGGTGCCATGTAGGGCTAACATGTCAATAATTCGTCTACCGGCCTGACCCTGGGATACTAACTACAACGTCGACCCCGAACAACCACAACGCGTCGCGTATTGCATGCAAGTACACAACGACAAAGAAGAAAATATTTTTTCGTCATGTTCGGCAAGGCAGTCTTCTTTCTTGGAACAGTTTATCTACAGCAGTAGCGGTAATAACGTTTATTTTCTGGTGCCCGCGTAGATTGTGATCGTGGTGTTTTTAACGGAGCCAGCCGGTAACCTGCGCACGGACAGCAGTGGTCGGATTCCTCTCAAACACTGAATGAAACTTCGTCACTCTTTCGAAACTTGGCCATGTTGAAGACTGGGGACAAAAGTAGTGGGGAGTGGGGAAAGTGGTACTAGCTATATATATACAACTGCTGTTGAGGTGAGCAGTATTTTGAAGGTCAAACAACAGCCAACGACACTGCGATAACAACACCACCCGTGGCAAGAAACCTCGTGTGCACGCATCAGCTGGCAAAAAACAGGGGTGGGACTGCATTTGCATGTGGTATTATAGCGAAGGGTCGAAACGGGGGTAGGGCTCGTAGTCTTATTTGCATGAAAATCACTCCAAGGGTCGCGTAGAATACAACCACCGAAGGAACGCCAACGTTGATCATACAACCAGTTCAGGCTGGAACTTCTGGATGGTGGCATCACCATGTAATTTCGAGCCCACTCCCCAAGAAAAATAAACATGCGATCGACGTACAGGCAACACCAACCACGCACGTCCGTCGTCCAAGGTGTATATATCACACCCATCTGGGGGTTCCCATTTCGTCGGTGGTAAACACGAAACAAAACAAAATCCGCCGCATGGTGTTCGCGTCGACGCCGAAACTAAGGCTACTTGGGGGTGAGATAGGGGTGGAATACGTTGAGTCCCCGAATTCACCCGCGAGCGTCCCTCCGCATCACCACCTGGTGTGTACACGGCTCGCGCGTTCATTACGTTTCGAAATGGGTGTGTATGCGTCATGTTGCGATGTATATATGCCCCCTGTCTCCGATGTACCATCAACCATGGGTGTGTGTGCTTCATGTTCCGATGTATGTATATAGATGTTCAACGCCCCCAGTCTCCGATGTATCATCAACCATTAGTGTGTATCCTTCATGTTCCGATGTATGTTAAACATGTTCAACGCCCCCTGTCTCCGATGTATCATCAACCCCTACCCGAAAACAAACAACAGCAATGCTGGTGCGGAGGCCGCGCAACGCCATGCGCTAGCCCTGAGGTGTCGAGAGTGGGAAGGCCGTGACGGAGGCGTGTTTGCCGGAGGGGACCGGCCGGGGGGTGACGCGGGACCTGGTGCTGGTTCTAATTCGGGCTTGTTGAACCCGTCGAGTGCTGTCGTCGCGGCGAAGAGGGCGGCGGTGCCGTGCCTGCGTAACCTGGCCAGCTTCGTGTCCAACCAGGGGAGACATGTGGACGCAGAAGTGGTTTTGGTGAGTTGGGGGAGTGTTAACACCAAAAAAATGTTTTACTTGCGAGTTGAATGTTGGCGATAATGTACCGTTCTTGTTGCAACGGAAAGGGCAGTGTTGCGTCTCGCTGGCTGTGAGGATGGTTGTGTAAATTTGGCCCCTCAAGCAGTTGTTGGTCGACGTGGGGGGCACCACGTTTCACACTGCTGTGTTGCCTTGAGGGCGTGCGTCTCTCTCACGCCCCTCCCCTCTGCCCCGCCCCCGACTGCATGCCCCACAAGCGCACCGTGCTCAACATCCTCCGAGACTACAAGCGACAGCTCAGCAGCCAGCATCATGACGGCAAGGGCAAGCGCGAAGCCGATGCACCTCTACTAGACGGCGGGGGAGGCTTCGGAACCGACTCGGCCTCCTTCACCCCGTCGTCTTTTGAAGAGAAGCGATCGGACGAAGCGCAAGCGGACGCTGGCTCACCGGCGCCGTCGCCAACGCCCGACACCCGCAACGGCGGTACCAGGAACGGCAGCCCCGCAGCGCATCCGACTACAGAACCTCCTCCGCTGTCCGCGGTGCCCGAGACAGGCATCGCTGGGGGGGACGAAAGCCTTGGTAGGGATGGCTCTACGGCCAACACCACCACCGGGGGTGACGCATACGAGAGTGGGGACCCCCCGGCGGGTTCGCGTCCAAGCGCCGAGACCGCGGGCGGCGGCAGCGGCGGCGGGGTCGGCGGCGGGGTCGGCGGCGACAATCTCAGGAGCCACGCTGCACAGGCTACGGCCGCGCTGGCGGAGGAAACGGTGGCGTCGGCGATGGTGGCGGCCACGAGAGCTGTCGCCGTGATGGGAGAGACGGCGGCTACGCTGGAGCCTTCCTCCCTCGTCGTCAACCACAACCGCGCGACCAGGAGCGATGCCTCCCCGGCCCCCCCGCCACCGTCCCCCGTCCCCCTGATGAAGCAGGCCAGCGCCGGCCCGACGGCAGGGAGGCGCGGCGGCAGGCTGGAGGAGAGCAGGCTGCCGGGCATGAAATTTGGCCGGGGTGAGAGCGGTGGCGACGAGCGGGGCTTGGAGGATGTCGAAGGAGGGGAGGACGAGGAACCGGATCAGATGGCGGCGGTGACAAGACACCACCTTGCGGTCGTCATTCACGCGCAGGTAGTGTATGTGTTTTGTGTTTCTCTGTTGTTGATATTGTTGCTGGCACTGCCCGCCCGCCCGCCCAAACCGGCTGACCAATGTGTGTGGGTGTTTGTCACTTGCATCGCCCGCACGAGCCGGCTGAACCAATAAAAAGTCAGGTGTCAAGTGTAGGTAGGTACATTGAGAGAGAGGCGGCCTGGGGGGGGAGGGGGGAGGGAGAGGGCACCGAGAAGCTGAAGCAATATGACAAAAAAAAGGTTACCGCTCGTGAAACAACGGTAACGGCGGTCGCCGCGCCTCGGAAGTGAGTGCGCTGCTACTGTAGCGCCTCTTACGCTACACCTCTCCGCGCCTCCCTCGCTCCCTCGGCCCTTTCCGTCGTCATATGACCTCACGCCTGACCCTAACGACATGTCGCGTTCTTGTCGGCCGGCAGGGTCGAGCGAAAGAGGCCGAGCAGCTCCTGGAGGATAGCCTCCGCGTCCTCAAGCGGAGAAAGCCGCCTCAGGTATGGAGACCCTTTGTTTTGATGAATTCCGAGCGAGAGAGCGCCAGGACTTATACCAAAAGGACAAACGCGATCGATGACGGAAGTAGCTGGCCGTTTGGTACGTCTGTCCCGGATGATGTTGGCATATATAGGTGTGGGCACGAGGAGGCAGTGATCTAGTACACCACGAAGACCCATGTAAAACCTGGCGTGTGTTAAGAGAAACACTCACTTCCCTTGCTCCAAAAAATATAATTTCGCCCGCATGTGTAGAGTCCTGTCACCCCTCTCCCCTTCGTTTCTCTTGTCGAGTTTACGGCGGGACCCCCCCCCCTCCCCCCCCAACGAAGCCAATTGTCTCACAGCTAAGGCATGCAAAACATGAGTAGGTCCCCGTCGTGCTCGCCCGCAGCCGTTTCTTTCCAAAACCTGTCTGCATGGCCAACAGCTAAGGCATGCAACACATGAGCACACCCCCTGCCTGCCCGCCGCCGTTTCTTTCTTTCACAAACCTACCGCCCTTGCAGGCGGTGTGTGTCGCCCAAGCGATGCACGACCTGGCAGGGATCGTCCGCCCGGCAGACCCCGCCCGGGCGTGCACCCTCTACCGCCAGGCCCTCAAGACCCTCGAGGACGCCCGCGGCGTCAACCACTTCCTGACGGCCCCGACGCTGGCCAAGCTGGGGGCTCTCCTGGGGGAGAGCCTGGTGGCCGCGGCGGACATCCCCATAACGCCCGCCCAGCCCGCGGGCCCCGGCTGCGCCGGCATCCAGCGGAGCGCGGGGCTTGCGGAGGCCGTGTGCGCCAGCGCCGGGTGCGGCGTTGAAGACGGCTCGGCGGTGGCGGCGGCGGCCGGGGTCGACTGGGACCCCAAGAAGGCGGAGGAGATGATCAAGCGGGCGGTGCTGATCCAGGGGAGGCACCTCGGGCTTCGGCACCCGGCGGTGGCGTCGAGCATGCGCGCGATGGCGGAGCTCTACCGCAGGCAGGGGAGGCTGGCGGAGGCGGAGCCGCTCTTCAGGAGGGCGATCGGGATCTGGGAGTTGTCGCGGGGCGGGGGGGGAATGGACTCCGACGCCATCGCCGCGTTGCACGGAACCGCGCACTGCGTGCTGGCCGGCGCGGGGGCGGACTGGCTCGGCAGGTTCGAGGAGGCGTTTGCCCTGGTCGATCAGGCCTACCGCATCGCCTCGTCGCACCCCGGGAAGTGAGTGATTTTCATATTCGGTGTAACCCCCTCGGCTAGCTTCGCTGCGACGTGGTCGTCGAGTAAATGCTTTTGTAGGCCGCATTTTTTTCTGATACCGGCGGTCTCGGGTATTTTTGCGGCGTGATGTGAGTATCGTCGAGTGTGCTATTATACCGTTGTCTATTACCGTTGTCTGGTGTCAACACCCTCGGCTGGTGTAATGTTGCTGCGTGGTGAGAATCGTCGACGGAAGTTTGTTGTTGTTCTGCATTATTCATCCGGTAGGGCCTCGGCCAGTCTTGTTGCTGCGGTGGGGGTTAATCGTTCTCCTGGAGTAGGTAAAAAGTCCTCCCCACGCCTATCTCCCTCATGACTACAATACTTGACCCCTGTCCTTCCTGCTTCACGCAGCCAGTACTTGTCCGATAGAAGACACTCCCTGTAACCTGACGATGCCCCCCCCCCCATCCCCACCAGCGACGCCTCTTCGCGTCTCCTCCTGGAAGCCTTGCGCATGATACGCTCGCGCCAGAGGCAGGGTCGCGGAGACCCTCAGCCCGCCTCCGCCGCGATCATGGAAGGCGTTTGGACCGGTCGTTGGGATCCCGCCAAGAACGATGGCACCAGCGGCGGCGGCGCCACGCAAGGGCGGCACGTCAGGAGCCGCAGCAACGGCGATGGCAACCCGCGCTGCGCCGTGTGCCTCGAGGAGGTTGGCGGGGGGGAGCCGACCGTCGACGGTGGTGCTCTCGGGCGGGAGGGGGGCGGGGGTGCGGCTGCTGCTGCTGCTGATTGGACGGCGGACATCGGGTCGGAGGAGGGTCTCCGCGCCGAGACGGCGGAGAGTGTCCACGCGAGCGGGAGCTTTGCGTACCTCCCCTGCGGGCACCGCTTCCACACGCACTGGTGAGCAGGGAGGGGTGTGTGTTTGTTGGATGGGAACGCTCTCGGTGGGCGCGGCGCTTTTGATGAGCACCGTTTGGTGGGGTTTGCGTCACGTCAAAGTTTCCTGCTATGTTGTTGGGCAGAATGCTTGCTTGGAAACGTGTGTTTGTTCTGACGGAGTCGCGTGTCGGAGATACGACAGAAAATAACCTCGGGCGAGGAGCTGACACGTGGGAGGAGGCAGCCTGCTAGGTCTCAGCCTAGCCGCCTCGAGCTCCTTCTCGAGTATGTTTGACTGTTTCCTCCTCTCTCTCTGTGTCTCCTGTGTGTCTGTCAATCTGTGTTTTTCTCTGTCTACCTGACTGTCTGTCTCCTTCCGTCTATGTACGATGTGGTATGTACAACGTTTTTCCCTCCCTGGCATGCCATGGTCCTGTGGAAACATTGCTCCGTCCTCTCGAGGACGGGTGGTCAATGGTAAAAAAACGCTAAGGCACGCAAAAGATAAGAGTGCGCACCCGCCCCCCCCGGGCAATTCATCGGCTCTCCATCGCAAACCGAGTTGGCCGACGAAGTTTACACCATCGTCCCTGGATGAACTTGTCTTCCCCGCCCCCTCTAATTTTTTGTTTTTCCTCCCTGCTGCTCATGGAACGTGCATGCGCACAGCATCGGGCGCTGGCTGGCACACAGCTCGTCCTGCCCGTCTTGCCGCAGCCAAGTGGAAGAGGAAACCATCCCAACCGCCGTTGCCATGGACGCCACCGCTCCTCCGTCGCCGCCGGATGAGGCAAGAGGACACGGGGCGCGAGCAGTCGGCGGCTCTCGTGTCGCCGCCTCGCGAAACAGACTGTCCACACCGGAGGCGGAGGCGGCGGAAGTCGCGGACTCTGTCCTGACGGCAGCGGCCAACTCTGTCTTGACGGCAGCCACGCGCGGCGTCGCCGGTCAGGCCCAGCGTGGGGGCGACGCAAATGGTCGCGTGGGGTTCGTCGGGGTGAATAGGCGAGGGGGGGGGGGTGCCGCCGCCGGCGGTGGAGGGAGCTCCGCGGTTGCTGTGGAAGAACGCGCGCCCTTTTGCTGAGCCGCAACACGTGGCAATCAATGACTTTGGGTGGTTGAGTCCCAGAGTTTTTCTTTTTTCTCGTCGAGTGGTTAAAGCTTTCATGGTCGTTGTGGAGCCGTGGTGGATACCATTCGTTGACAGTCGGGGGTGGTTAGCAAGGGTAAGGGGGAGTGCGGGTATAGGAAGGAGAATTCCATGTATTGTTCGCGGCCGGGGTGACTATTTTGTGGTGGTGGTTGTGAGACTGGAGAAAGCGGCAGGGAGAATGAATGAATGTATTTTCGAGGTGCGATTTGGAGGTGGGACGGACGGGTGGGGGGGGGGGAAATTATGTATTTTCGAGTGCGCATTCTCAGCATAATTAATTAATTGTTTTCGTTTCGGTGAGCAAAAACAACGCCTTTCTCTGCGTGTGTTTACGTGTGTGTGTATGCGTGTGTGTATGTCCGGCAAGCGCAGCTCGGACGCTTCCCGCCTTGTTGGAAAAACCGGCGTATTGCACCCCTTCCTCCTGTCTGGTTCCCATTTCCCCTACCGCGCGTTTATGTATGTTCCAAGCACGGGGAGCGCGCTATTTTTGGAGCGGAACGTAAATTGGAGTGTGGAGGATGTAACAGACACAATGTTTGGGCACGCACGTGAGTACGTTAAGTATCAGTGGGTTTTTGATGTTAAGGGCGAGTGTGCAAGTACAGGCGCGCGTTCTGCGATGCCATTTTTTTTTTTGCTTCAAGATTCGCTGTGTTTGCTATTGTCGTGCATGTTCTGTGTTGTACGTAGAGCCCACCAGGTTTCCTCACGCGCAAGTTTTTTTTTTTGTTTCATCGTCTCTATGCGTAGTGTGCTGTGTGAGGCGCGCGGTGAGAGCCTGCCTGTCGATATTACATTCCGTCGTGATTTGATCGAGCTGTTGTTTGGGCGTGAGAGAGGGAGAGAGTTAAGTGCAGTCATTCCATCGGTAAAACAAGCAAGCGCGGACGCGCGCGCTGTTGCTCTCACGGTATGTATTGGTTTCCGCTTTTTAGTCCGTGTCTGGATTCGAAGCCGTGTTACTATAGTATGTTGTCCCTCCTGCTCAGGGGTGTGCATTTTTTTTTTTAGTGAATAACGTGACCGCAGTGAGCGAACTACACCAACCAGCCAATGTTTTTGTGGAGTACCACGACGTCGATACTTCGTGTTGTTAAAATATGTAGTATGTCGAATGCGAAGATGCCGTTTTTATTCCCAAACTTGCAGGAGTCCTGTACGCAGTCCAGGGCCTGAAGGTTTTCCGCCAGGGGGAAGGAAGAAGGAAGCGTTTTGATAAAGAAGCTGCTTGCTGTCGATAAAACTCCGCGCGCGAAACATTTTTATTCAGGGTGGTATGTAAAGTAGTGGTCGATTTTGGGGGGTGGGGGATGGGCATACTGACAAAACAAATAAAGCTGGTGTCGTATGATGCATGGCATACTACGTTTCTTTTTTATTCGAAGTTGGAAAGCTTGGGTGGGTCGTGAGCTGCCGTTGAATTGTTTGCGTTTTCGACCTCCCGCAAGAAAGGAAGGGTTCGATCAGCGTCCACTGGTCCACGAGGTCGATTTGGATCGTCAACCAAACACCAAGAAGCTGCGACTATTATCATTGTAACTTCGATTTCCATTTTGAGCGTCCCCTTTTTTTATTTTTGTCGGGGGTCGCCCATTCAATTCCTGTCTGTCTCTGTTTGTTGGAGAAAGTCCCAATCAGTGTAGAGTCGACATGATGGTTGGCGAAATTTTCGCTTTTTTTCTTTTTTAACGAGAAATGATGCCGAGCAATGTGGGAGAGGAGGACATCGGTGATGTTGTATGTGTGTCAGCCGAAGACTTGGGTGCTACAGCGTGCCGAAAAAAGAATATCCTGACTTTTTTTCGTGATCTGTTTGAATTTTGTTGTTCTATGGTGGTCGTGCTTCGGAGATAGCAGGAAGCGCATGCTGCGTAGGCTATGCCTTTACGTGCAGGAAGGAGCACTAGGCGGTTGCAACAGCACATCGATGCGGTGCTCGCCGTTATTTCGGCTGCGTACACCTGGGCCTGCCGCCACACACACACCGGGGGGAGGAGTTTCTTCTTCAGACCGACACTTCTGTACTGCTGCTGCCATGTATGTATACCCCAGGACAGTCGACAACATTTTACATTCCATTGGCGAGGGAGAAGATGCAGGTGTACGTAGAATCGGATTTCATTTCAACTCCAGGTGCTACAGTTCCCCCACAACCCCGAACGCACCAGCTATAGCTGCCTGCTGGCCACCAGGACTTCGCTCGTGCAGGCACAGATAGATGCTTCACTAGCCCCTGGTCGAGAACGGGAATCGTTTCCCACTAATAGCTGCGGCCAAACACGTACGTATGTGAAAACAACGGAAACAACACATGTAACAATTAACTGTCATCAGCCCGCCCTTATTATGGAAGGCTACCGCATTTTTTTCTCTTTTGGTGGCGAGGGGCACAGCACACCCTACACGCTTCCAAGCACAGTGTACAGCGTGATCGGGTCATTTCCGCGGGAATCAAAAGCGGGTACCACACGTCTTGGCATATTGTAGCAGCATGAGATATTCTTGAAAGTGAAACACGCCACAACGTTATCTCTGCACTACATTGTGCAACATGGTGATGCTCGAACCATTTCTATGTCTTTCTGAATGCAAAGTTCATTTACAGTCAAAGCTTGGCCAAAAAAGAAGCAAATCAGCCCAATCCGGTGTCAACAAGCTGGTACAGCGGTCACGAAAGTTCGCTTGAATCGACAAAAAAAACGTTAACATTACCCCAGGACATGGCTTTGGGACACGATGAGTAAGTGTGCGCCCATCTTCCCCTTACTATAGAGAAAAAATTGCCCCCAAACGAAAATCTCCCTGCATCTTCAATTCGCCACCTAAAAACACTTCACAACTTTTGCCCGGCATCGTCAAGAACAGGACGTACACCTCAACAAGAAACATCCCAAGGTTTCCAATCCCTAACAACTAATTTTCTTGTGGGCGCGCATTACGAAAACAGCATCTGGGCCTCGCACAACTACCCCCCCCCGACAATCACATCAATCAGTAAATCTCAACGGACACAAAAGAAAAACAAAAGCCTCCCTCCTCCCCCTCGTCGCGAAAAAAATATATGTTGTCATGCCATCAGTGGACAGCCGCAAACACAGAAACGCCCGTCGCCAGAAGCACTAACGCTGCCACTGCCAGCTGCTGAGCCCCGGTCAGTATAATCTGTGCCCGGAGGATGGCAAGTATTGGCAGACGGAAAGTACGGGAGCGCAAGGGGGGGGGGGGGGGGACCCGTTGAATGCTTGCCTTCCTGGCTTGACCCCCTTGACCTTGCGAAAAGGGGCACCGTGTCTGCTTCCAGGAGTGTAGGGGGTACCCTTGAAAATCTCATGGTTGTTTCCTCTTGGGGATTCGTCTCTTTGTCTTTAGGGCCGAGCTGAAACGAGCCGTTGCTCTACCCAGTCTAAACAGTAGATTTCGTACAGTGTAGATTGCGTAGGCTTCGTAGATTTCAAGCCTGGACCAAGGGAATACTCCAAGCGTGATATGAATACAAACCACCATGCAGCAATACAAACAAACGCTTGAGGTCGTTCTTGCGAGACTCTTTCCCAACTACGTCGCAAACTTGGGGTTGACACACACCGTAAGTTGCGTAAGATTACACACACCCGGGAGCGAGTTTCGAAGTTCGATTACAATGTAGCAAAAACAGCAGTGACTGCTGTGCCGAAATCGGCGGGAGGCGTTGGGAAGTCTCGTCTAGGAGCAAATCGAGCGAAGTAAAACGGTCCGGGGTGTGTGGTATGTTCCATATGTATCCAACCTACGGTATTCCGTTTACTGTTGTAAAGTATGTAGCGAGATACTATGAAATCGCCAATGGTTGATAACTCGTGTCTGCCGCTTATATCCAGCGGGAAAAACCAACCGCTTTTACTCACCGGAAAAAACCAGCCGATTTTACTCAACAGGAAAAAACAAAAAACAACCGATTGTACTCAACGGGAAAAAACAACCGCTGTTTATTCAACGGGAAAAAGCACCCGCTTTCAAATCACCGGGAAAAACCAAACGCTTTTACTCACCGGGAAAAACCAGCCTCCCGCTTCCTTCTGCCGTTGTTTCCGTGAAGAACGACAGTGTATGCGATCACCAGGCAAGATGTCATGAAAGTCGAAAAGCAGGCGGAGGCGTCACGCGGCGTAACGTGTTGGGAAGGAGGTCGCATGTCGATGGTCTCAGCACATACAACAAATTCCTTGTCGCACAGGAGAAACACAAGTGTTTACATGGAAGCAAGCTCCTGTCGTAGCACTAGAAAACAGCAACAACGACAGCGACAACCAGCATGAAAAAACGCGCGCCTCCTGCTCAACGCTACCACCCAGAGCAAGACGGCGGGATGCGACAACAAATACTGCACGATACCAGCCGGGCCGCCATCGCGAGGATTATATTCTTAATCTACGTAGAGTCCATCCGGTTTAAATTTTGCCACAACGTGACACCCAATTTTTCTCGCTCAATCTTGAGGTTGAGACGTGAAGAAAGTTGGCAAGAACCGCACGACCGAGATGCATCGAAATCCGGTGTAAAAAAAAACCGGTGAGAATGGCCTTTTGGGGGGGGGAGGGGAAATACCCGACAATACCCCCCCGAAACGGTACATATTACCCCGAAATTTCCCCGAAACGACACGTATTTCCCCGAAACGCCACAGCATGCAATCTGGAGTGACATGGTCGTGGCCTCCGTCCATTATCCGGGCTTGTCCCTCCCTCTCAGCACTCTCGCCGCAACAGCGAAAAAGCAACACTTATTCCAGACAGAAAAATGTACATGCCGACACCCCCCACTCCCCGCCATGATCTACAGCAGCAGTCTATTCATCCAATCTAAATGGAGCCAAGTTCAAAAATTAAACAAGATCTACAATTCGCGGCGTCTGGTGCTGCTGCGCTCAACTCAGGTGGCCGTGAGTTTTGCTGCCTTGAACTTCTTCAGCATCTTGTCGGCAGCCTTGTTAGACATTTTCCTGGCCTCCTTGGCCGCAGAAAGGGCGGCCATCCCTTTGGCGGCCATCTCTTTGGCCTTACGCTCAGCCATGTGTGGACTTGTTGTGTGGGCCCTTGTGAGGGTGTGCTACTGCTGTATGATGTGAATGATGTGTGTCGTGTATTCATGCGTGGTGAGTGAACGCACCAAACGTCGTGTGGCCGTATCTCGCCAAAAACAAAAATTGGAAAAAAAAAAAAAAACTTGTCGTGGGTACAGGTCCAATTCGTCCGAATCCGTTGAGTTTTTCGAATTCTATCGGTGCATTTCTCCCCGGAAAACGGTTTTCTGATTTCACCAGGAACGCTCTTTTTTGCCCGTTTCTCCGTGGCATATCAGCGAAAAAAACACTGAGTTGGGTCGTTCGCAGCTCCTCGACGTGATACGCGCAAAACCGGTCTAAAATAAAAAATCAGACCCCACACTCAACCAACTAAAACCATTCAAAATCTTGAAAAATCTCGACAAAATCGTGATTTTCTTGCCAACCAAAAAAAAAAATCTGCTCCGATCAAACGATCCGCCTGAAACAGAGCTTTCTTACGATATAAAGCAAAAAGTTTATTGCTGGGGGGTACGTCAGTCACTCGGAAAAATTTTCAGAGTGATCCTGGGAGATGGTGGCAACATTAAACCGGATGGACAAAAATAGAGAGGGCATTTTCGTGGCGCTATTCCCTACCCCCTACTAAAACCAAGAGTAATATCCTCGCCAAGGCTAGTGCTTAGCACCAGCTGGTATCACTGGCATAAGTCAGTGTATAGACTAAACACACTCAAAATAAGCCCAATTTCCAGTCGGTTCCCCTCCACTCACTGAAAGACTTGAGCACATCCCCTCAGACTGTGGTCATATCTCGAACGGGTACAGCAGTCGTAGGCCCTCTATAAGGCGGGTATGCTCCAGACCGATTCACCCACACTGTGCAGGGCACCCGCCCTACTCAATGCATTAACCGTCTTGAATATTACATCTGTGCCAGCCGATTTCACCCGCCCCATAGCGGGCACCCGCCTTGTAGAGGGCCTACGACTGCAGTATTTCCGTGTATGTTGTATTGAAGTATATTTTCTGAAAACGTCGGAGCACACTCGCATCACTAACCTGGCACGTGGCGGAATGCCCCTGCTTCTGCTCTTCCAGCCTCGCCGCGCACTCCGACTCCGCCACGCACTCCCTCCGCTCGGAGCACGGGCAGTCTCGGCTACAGCTGATGTCCGAAGCCGTGTTCCCTGCTGATCTCCCTTTCTCCCCCTCGCTAGGCTTGCACGGCAGCTGGACGGGGGCGGGCGGCTTGGGGCACTCGGTTGGCTTACCGGTCCCGCACTTGGGGCAGTTCTTCATCGCCTCCTTGACCTTCTGGTCCGCGTACTCCTCCATCGAAACCTCCTGCTTGGCGGGCGCGTGTAAAAGTAGTGAGAGAGCGTGTGTGACAACGGCCAGAGCACCCGCAACATGATTCCTTCGAAAACAGACTCTTCCTTGGCCAAATAATATCCCTTCAACGCTCAAGCAGAATCTTCTCGAAAACCGAGTTTCCCTCACACCGAGTCTCCCTGAAACTGAGTCTTCCTTTAAACAGAGTCTTCAACTTATAAGAGTGCTCCTTTAAACAAAGTCGACGATCGACAAATCGATTCCTTGCACTCACCCACGCAGCGTTCCAGTCCTCCATCCGCTTCCTGCTTTCTGGTGCACGCACGCAGCACCATTTCTATTTTGCCAAAACGCCAAAGCTTTACTCCGTTCGTTACCGGGCTGAGCAGGACTTTTCTGTTTGGGGCCAATCAGATTGGCTCCCTCCCCCCTGCACCCGTCAGACCTCTGCCGCATCGCATCTACCCGCCTACCATCATGCGATCCATTTCCCCGAGCCTACTCTTGCCACAGACCACCACCTCCATCAGACTCAGGTCATCCACACACCTACCACGGCCACACACATGCCTCGGTGCAGTGGGTTGATGCACCGCTGGTTTCGACGGAAGAGTCAACAGAAAACATTTTGTCGATCTCAGCGAACCTGACAAAGTCACTTCGGCGGTATTGCCACGTTTTACGGTACACCCCTACAGTATGATGATTCTTCGCTCACACCTTAATCTCGATGGTCCTGGTCTTGGGCAAAGCGTAGTTGCCCGCTTCGTCAACCGCGTTGTACGACACTTTCCACTGCAAAGGGTCTTTCTTCGACTGAGAAAATGTGTCCATACATGTATCGGGCAGCAAAAGATGCGGTTCGAGAGGGGCAACCATTGTTACGTGAGTTACCATACACCATACATCGATATCGCCATGCAAAACATGCTGTTCAGCAGTAGCAACGGTAACCATTCCTACGTGAGTACCACCTACAGACAATGATAGGACAGAACATTGTACGGGAGTGACCACGTGGCCACCACAAACTCATGTACCGAAAATGATCCAATAGCGCCTCTCCCTCCCCCGCGAGGTCAATGGTCTAACGACTACAAGGTATGCACGACTATGAGTACCCCCCCCCCCCCCCCCCCGGCGAGCCGTTTTCTTCACGATGTTTTCGCGGCGATGGGGGAGCAATCGAAACAGTACATTTTCTATCCGACTTGTTTTGGGGCTACTCCGCCACAGAGTAATGCAGCTTCGAAAATCTGTCCAGGGGGGGGGCAGCTCTAGCCTAGCCTGGCATGTGCCCGACAAGCACAACGGCGCAAGAGCGAGCGGGCACCGGAAGCACTCAACTTTGAGCACAACAGCTCGATTACTTTCCGTCTGTGTTATCAGGTGTATATCATAGGCACCATTCTACAACGGGCCGTCGGTACTATTGAGGGCCCGCTATTTTCCATCGATGTTTGTCAGGTATATATCATCTGCGATACAACGGGTCGTTGGCACTCTTGAGGGCCCAAAAACTCAAGCGTGCGTCACTCACCGGTTCTGGTTCCAAGATCTTGAGGTTGTGCGTTATGTCCACCCCCTGGTGCGTCCCGTTGTTGTCGATAACGGTAGCACATCTTGACCCGAGACCATCGTTGCACAAGGCCTACCATCGAGGGCGGAGATGGGGTGCAACAGACGTCGCAAGCAGGTGGTAAAGAGAAGGGGGGTCATTCTACACCTAATACGATACCGCCGGGAACATGCGCATAAACAAGCCAGCTCGACAGCAACGACAACCTCACCACTGCCATCTCCTCGTCAAAAAAGGTTCAGAAAATGAGCGTTGGGGGGGTGTACACCGAATTACACGAGGGTATAGCGCCTCTAGCTTTTCGAGGGAAATGCAAAAATGGGTAAAGCGCGAAGGATCAAACACCAAACACATCGACCATCTCCATGAAACTCAGCGTGGAAAATGCTGAACATCAATGGCAGCACGGAACACTATTGAGAAACTCGGAACGCCACCGGCAAACACTCCGCAGCACTACGATCAAACTACGGCATGCCCGGGAGAAGAACCGGTTTTACCCGTACGCTTCTGCCCCATGGCAACCTTCGACCACCGTCACAAACATGAGTGCGAGTGACCCCTCCCCCCCCCCCCCC